CAAGTCGGATTTTCAGGGCAGAAATCCGAGTTGTGAGTTTATTGCAGCAATGTGAAACCCATGTCGTTTTTTACTTGAAACATTAGATTTGTGCTTTATTGAAATTCTCCAATATAATTGTAATTTAAAATTGCTAGTTTAAGGTTTTGTGAGTTGTTTCTCCAACCAGGCCCACGATTCGGCTGGAATGCTTCTTTTTTGATAAGATGGTAAGGAAAGGTATCTGGTAGTTTTTAATTGTTATTATTATACAAGACATACATTTGCATGGTAGATCTGTATTTATGATATACAATAATTTATCAAATTATAAATATATAAAAATAAATAACTAAATTTATAAATTTTATATTAATAATTTATAAGTAACTTGAAATTTGCAACGTATTGGACTAATTTATTTAATTCCATAATCTCTGTATCTTAGGCTGCTGATACATATTTTATTTATCATCATCATCATCATCATTATTATTGTTTTGTTTTTTCCTTTTTTTGAGAGAAGCCAGATTATACCAGAAAAAGAGACATGGATGACCGCTTATAATCATCTGGATTATCTTTAAGGATTCGTCAAGGGTAAGGATGTCGTTTAGTCAACGTTTTACAGCTCTGCCAATGCTCGTGTAACCAAAATCCTCCTAAGGTACTCATAACGCGCGGAGAATTTTTGACGAATTAACTTTGAGGTGTTCGAAAATATGGCAAAACAGTGTCTTGAGTGTTAAAGATATCTTGTCAATCGAAACTTAAACTCGGAGAGAACTCTGAGAATCTGTAATCAAAGTACGGACGTAGCCGTCTGTTCACATTTCCCTTGTACAGTCTGTTCACATTTCCCTTATACAGAAGGATCTGTATTCAGACTTGAAGTTTTGTAATTTTCAGCCTAGCGATTTTAAAACACGTTTGCATGAGAAAATCACCCTTCTCCAGTCCTCTTAAGCTGTAAAATACCTTCACTCTCAGTGCTTGCTTTAACAGAGAATCATCATTCCATAACTACGCTGGGCAGCTACTTCTAACGGCCATTCTGCGCTGTAGCCATAATTTGTAATCGATCCTTGGGCATCAACAACAGCGAAAACTCGCTGATAAACGGTTTTCCTTTTTTCCTTAGCATTAAAAAAACGCGTAAGCAACAACAAGAACAACAATCTTTATTCACACTATTCAGGTACAAAAGAAAGGTATGACAAGAAAAAAAGAAACTATAGAAAACGTGACGATAGAGATTATATAATTATATGTTCGATTTGAGTCAGTGTGCAACAGTCAAAGTAGCAAAGCTTTCGAGTTGGCTGCTGCTTATTTACAAATAAAGAAAGGAAGGAACCAAGGAAACAAATAATAATTAAGACTAAACTAATTCACAAAGCAAGAAATGAAAACGGGAAGAAAATATCACATTAAAGATTACTTTCAGGAAAGTAACAAAACGATATTAGATAACAAAGTGACCACGCTACCTCAATATTTGTGTGATTACAGGCAGAAGCTGAACGGACGCGCAAAGGAAGTACCTGCCTCCCTCCTGAAAGTGGTTGTAAATGGGCTCAGTCTATAACATATTCATTTCGAGTTTAGGCTGCACGGATGAAGGGTGTAGGTCCAGCAAGCAATCTTGAAATTGCAACAACTGAAGGTTAGGATATAGCTCCTTGTCAGTTGTACTTAATAATGTACACTATTATTTTGAAATTTAGTGAAACATCTAAATAACAGTAAGCTGAAGGTGTACTGTTCAAACGAAGTGAGATTAGGCCCTAGTATGGCATCAATGCCTAGTTAACTAATTAACGTCAGGTTTTCATGCGTCTGTCCTGTTATTGATCATGAATTTCGTCATAACATTGTCAACGTAGCTGTGGATCCGCAGAAATTGTCAATAACAGGACAGACGCATGAAAAACTGACGTCAATTTGTTTTGTACAGTAACAAATTGTCAAATTGTCCGCTCTCGCTCGTTAATACATCGCATAAATTATAAATTCATATGTCTGCCCGCTTATTGACGATGAAAATAAGCTACTGAGTACGCGAGAATTTCTACAGTTACATACTGGTGATCATTATTTTGTAAACCAAATGGTGGCGATCAGCGAGCTCGCTTATTAGTTACGAGCCCCTAAAATTAACATTAATGGAGCAAGTTGTACTGCTTCTAGTCACCTGCTAGGACAAAAAAATGACCAAAACGTTTTCAACATTGATTGGGTGTTTGTTTGATACCGTTATTGTAGGAAGCATTGGCAACATAATCCCTTGAAGTATGACAATTATAAAATGCTGGGTACTATTGTAGGCTACCTCATGTGAAAACACCTTAATACACTCTTTTACAGCTTTTATCGAATGATCGTCACACCCTTAACAGATGGGCAGAACCCAGGAAAATCATCAGACGAGTAATACGTTAAAGTCATGCGAAATTACGATAACCAAGTAAAAGGAGAACCTTATATTACGGCTGAGTTCGCCAACGATCAGTCAAGGGCATCATTTCCTGTTGGTGACGGGAAGTATTATTCTAGAGATGGTGTTACTGGAGCTAAGAGAAAGCGCAGAGAAACATGAGAGTCAGTTCACAACTAATGGTGTTCAATTCACACATTGACGCAAGCAGCGCTGTCTGGACTCTTATCGACAACGACAAATTAGGCAATCAGATTGCGAGATTAGCAGCAATTGTGGTAGGAATTAGTTTTTTTTTCTGAAAAGTAGTCCACATTTTCACAAGATCAAGCGCAAAGTTTCGCTTTGTTCGACTGAAGGACAGTTTCTTCAAGCCTTATAATCAATTATGTAATAAAATTTGAGGCTGTTTTAGACAGATTATGCTTTTCTTACGATAGCGATATCAGAAAAATAATCACTTATCTCACAAAGCGTAGGCATTTTTCGCATAGTACAAAGAAATACGTCCACAATAGCTAGGGTGGTAACATTGCAGCTGAACATGGACTGGTAAAGGGTTCTTGGATCACAGAGGACACTCCTGCCAAAAATATTATTGATTACTCCCCNAGTACAAAGAAATACGTCCACAATAGCTAGGGTGGTAACATTGCAGCTGAACATGGACTGGTAAAGGGTTCTTGGATCACAGAGGACACTCCTGCCAAAAATATTATTGATTACTCCCCCCAACCAGATCTTGATGTTGATGTTTGTCTGCCTGCTGGGAAAATTTGCATGTATTCAAGAACTTTTTTTTTTGTACGAGCTTACAGACCTTTCTCGTTGCATTTCACCTAAGGCTATAGGTAAGGTTTCTTATGATATGTACAGCACTTCGTTTCCAACGTGGAACCGCTTGTCTCTACATCAAAATAAGTACCATCTTTTTAACAAGATGTTGGATTTTTGGTTCGCAAAATATCGCAAAATATCACAGAGATGCAATGAAGAGGAAGAAATGACTAATATTATATTTTCAACTTCAAAGAAAAATTAGTTATGTTTGAAGCCAGTCATTGATATGATGCTAAATACCCTACATTCAGCATAATTTACAGGAAAATATCAGTTATTATTTGGGTCACGATGACTTCCCAAGTTCCCGAGAAACATCCGATATCCTATGCCCAAATTTTGGGAGTCAAATCCTGTCAAGATATTTTGAAATTACGGTATCCCGCACCATAGTTTGGTCAAATTCCAGATCCCNCCCCCACCCAGATCTTGATGTTGATGTTTGTCTGCCTGCTGGGAAAATTCGCATGTATTCAAGAACTTTTTTTTCTTTTTGTACGAGCTCACAGACCTTTCTCGTTGCATTTCACTTAAGGCTATAGGTAAGGTTTCTTATGATATGTACAACACTTCGTTTCCAACGTGGAACCGCTTGTCTCTACATCAAAATAAGTACCATCTTTTTTACAAGATGTTGGATTTTTGGTTCGCAAAATATCGCAAAATATCGCAGAGATGCAATGAAGAGGGAGAAATGACTAATCTTATTTTTTCAACTTCAAATAAAAATTAGTTATGTTTAAAGCCAGTCATTGATATGATGCTAAATACTCTACATTCAGCATAATTTACAGGAAAAGATCAATTATTATTTGGGTCACGATGAATTCCCAAGTTCCTGAGAAACATCCGACATCCTATGCCCAAATTTTGGAAGTCAAATCCTGTCAAGATATTTTGAAATTACGGTATCCCGCACCATAGTTTGGTCAAATTCCAGATCCCGATAATACCTTCCAGACCCAGCTAAGTGTAACAAAGTCAATTATCACTACTGACCAGGTGAAGGTAAGGTAAACTCTGCATACGAGCAAAGTGGCCCATCAGGCCGGAGCTTATCCGGGTTTCTTTAGCATGAAGCGACTAGGAGTACTTCTACTCCCCCCTGGATGGGTAAAAAAATGCAAAATTGCTATTAGAGGAATCCAGAGGAATGAGAGTGGTTCAAACCAAAGATCCTCAGACAGTGAAAAGGGAATGAATATTTTCTGGAAAATACAATTTGAATTACAGGTATATTAGGCAACAGCCTATGAATATGAAACAGCTCTTACAAAATCATTTGCTTTCAGCATTTTCCATTTGATCAAGAGTTGTAACATACAGATACTTGACAAAGAAATTAAAAGTCCTTAAATGAGGCAGAGGAATATTTTCAGTTGGATCGATGTGGAAGCTTATTTAAGGGAGAAGTTCTTGAAACAGCCTGTGGGAAATTCAAGTACTTATGACCTCAATTCAGAATATGAAACGTCAGGAGAATTCAATGTCATGATTGTTCAAACACTTGAAACCTGAACCAAAAGGGCAATGTAAAAATCTTTCCTTCAAGTAATCTTAGAAAGCAAAAATCCACAGCACTCCCTGAAACATAAATATTAGTATCCATACAAAATTAATGACTAATATAACTTTCAATTAAACAGACCAAAGGATACATCAGAGGCTTCAGCCATGAAACTTTTGTTGTTATTACTATAAACATCAAGATCCAGTAGTTTAGATGATGGCAAAACGATTTTTTTTTGGCAACAAAGAATCAAACTACCATAAGGCAACTTCTCCACAGGTCAGCTGCCAATCTTCCAGCCGTGTGATTATGCTAGAACTATCGATCTTGAATTATGTATTTGGATGGAGAATGGTGAAAGACAATAGAGTGTTTACAATAGTAATAGATGTACAACAGTAGCAATGAAATAATCAAAGAATGAGTGGGTTCGAATCCCGTTCAGAGCCTGAAATTTTTTCAGGTCATTTTTCCAGTAGTGTTATGGCTGCATTCGCATCACTCATTCTTTCATTGTTTACAATAGTGTTTACAGCGTGTTTGTATAAATTAATTGGCCACAAATAGCCTTGCATTTGCACAATAACAGCAACTATTATTGTACTACAGAGCCAGCAAGAAATATTTATGGGAAATAAATTGTTATTTTCATGAAACGTACCAGCCTCTTCAAAGAAAACCGACACACGCACTGGTGGACACTCACGAAAAATATGTTTCAAGAAACTAACCTCTGACATATCTCGCGTTAAAAATAACTTTAATGAATTCGTTTTAGACTTAAGCATAATTTAACATAAACGTAAACAAATATGAAATATTACGAAGATTATAAGTTTAACTTACAGTCGTAAGTTAAACTGGATAGCTTATAAAAGATCATCAATTTGTTTTTACCACTTGGCGATTTCGAATTTTATGAGATGTATTGAACTGAGAAAGACATTGGCGAACTAAACCAATCCGTTTGGCGACTGGAATTTCGCCAAAAAACTCCACCGGAACGAAGGTGAAACGGCACAACTCCACCGCGAGTCAATGAGAAGCTTGCCGTCTCACAACAAAGAAAACCTCATCGCGACGACGAGTTATGTATTGCTAATCAACTTACGGCTTTGGAAAAAGATCTCCTGTACTTTACAGCACAACACATGACCTAAAGCGCCTTATTTTACCGACAACCTTTCGAAAAATAGTCGACTCTTCAAGATGAACGCCATGAACGCCACTGACAACTAACAGGTCACCTGACAAACGACAGTTGACAATATAGTTCATTCGCAATGCACTATGGGAGGGCCTTCCAGCCCCCGCTGTCGAAAAATGTTCGGAAATCTTTGGAAAATGTGTGGAAACGTTCGTCTGGACTTCGGACAAATTTTGGACTATCTTCGGAAATCTTCGGAAAGTGGTCGGAAATCTTCGGAAAATCGCCACAAAAGTCGTTATGTATTGTGAATATTTTATATTATAAAGAGAAAATTGCATGGTGGCTAGGAGATTCGAACTTTATCTTCTCGTGTCAACACTCGAAGATAAATTTCGTATCTCCGCGCGACCATGTAATATCCTCCATATGTGTCGATTCTTTGACTTATAATATTTCAATGCAGAGGGCATATCAAACTTCCAAGTAAAGTCTGTATATTATCCCCCTTTACCACCCTCACATGAGGCGTCCTTTTTGAAAAGAAAAATATACGGCGTCACTGACAACGAAACGTAGAGCGCCGCATCCATTCGAATCAAAGACTGCCCGGCACAGAAATAGAACAATTATGCGTCAAATTCTTTTGCCTCTTAGCTTTATTTAGCCTCACACACAATACTTTGAATTTCTGAAAAATTTGGCGGGGCTGTGCGGCCCGCTCAAAGCACTTACCTTATTTAAGACCAAAGTCTGCGATTTTTCTAACCTATTTATGGCCTGACCCTTAGATTAATACCCTGTTTCAGACCTGCCGTAGTTCTCTAGTTAAGAATGATGTTAAAGGTATTGAATGGCTTTAGTTGCTGGTCTTATCGATAATGATGAAAAAAGTAGCTTCTTCTTAAAAAAAACATACCTAATTCAAGACTAGAGTGCAAAAACCATACCCAGTTTGGGACCAAAATGACCAAAATCGATACTCTTCTTCTGACTAAAATGTCTTAAAAAACATGTCCTTCTGACGCTGGACATACCTATATAGCCGATATAAGGGAGCACCCCCTCCCCTTCCCCTAGGGCAGAGTCAAAGTGAAGTATTACAAGTAAATACATTTCGAAGCGCGTTGTCCGTAATAACCGATGCATTTGTTGTCAACTTAAATTGATTAGCCCTTGCTCTCTTACAATAGGTTAAGTACTAAACCTCACCTGGACGAAATACTCCAGGCTCTGGCAACTGAGCAGATCAGTGCGGTGCAAAGCGGCGCAATAACACATATCCCCCTCACCCCAGTACTACCCCACCTTCTTTTATCGTCGTTCTTGATCCGCAGAACTATAAATGCCGAGACTATTATAGCTTTTTGATAAAGTTTAAGTATGAAAAGCCAAAGAAATGGGCCAAGATAGCGGAAGAATTTGATTTGGAAGATAACTGTATTTCAGAAGCCTTTACGTTGCCCATAAGAGTTTCTAGCGAACCCTACTTAAGATCTTTTCAATACAAAGTATTAAATGAACTCCATTCTTTTTACCAATGAAATCCTTTTTAAAATAGGCTACATTCCAAGCCCTAACTGTTCCTTTAGTCAAGATACCAAAGAAACTGACTAGAAACCATGTATTATTTACTTGTCCCTTTTCTTACTCATTTTGGATGGATGTTATTGCCAACATTTTGAATATTAGTAGTTGCAGATGCCTCTTACTAAGTGACGTTGTCATAGGAATCTTGAAGGAGGGGATGGATCTAGTCAATTTTGTACTAATTCTAGGTAAGAGCTATTTATGGAGTTGTAG